AATCACAGCCACTGTCTAAATATTGTGGGAAAAGCCTAGGCTTCAGAGCCACAGACCTGGGAGGGAATTGCATTTCCCTCATTTCATAATGGTGCCATCTTAGGCCATGCAATTGAATTCTGTTTTTCATCTGTAAATTGAGTTGAACAAAAACAACTTCACAGGATTGTGAGGATCATGTGAAAGACAAAGTGCTTCAGGCAACTAAGGAGATGATTTTATTCAGGTTAAATCCATAGGGAGAAGGTTCAAAGGGAAAAAAGCAAAGTTGGAGTTTTATAGAGGCAGGTAAACAAAGGAGGCATCAAGAAGTCTTATGGGAGTCATGAGGAAGTATGGAAAGGATCCTCTCACAGAATATTCCAGGGCAATGTGGTCCTTTACAATGAACTGTTCTTTGGAACACAAAAGTGTGGGAGAGTTTCTCAACTGTGGCTGCTTTCCTGGTAAGCATTCAGCAAGTGTTTCTTTTCCTTCTTCCAATAGAAGCATGTACAAAGTGATGTGGGGGTTCAGAGAAGAACCTGACAGGTTTACTCTGTCTGGGAGAACTAGATTTGACAAAGGATCCTGAATCTTAAAAGAAATAGTGGTTTTCCAGAAAGAGGGAGGAAAGGAGAGCATTCTAAATAGGGCTAACTTAATAGAAGAAACATACAGGCTTACAAGAGGTTTGTATATTTAGAAATTGGCTGTAACTGCAATGTAGTACAAGGAGTAACTAGACACAAGGTAGGTTTGAACCAAATTGTCAAAACCCTTGAAAAACTACTTAATGCCTACTGTTTCAGGAAAATAACCCAGGAATTTATGATTCTAACAATATGAGCTCCTAGTTTATGAAACCCCTTCTCTGCTGTGTAAGGGATAGAAGCAGGGAGACCAGTTAGGCAGGTAGTACATGAGCCAGAGAGGACCAAGGCCCGAACTAGCACAGTGGCCATGAAGTTGTCATGGAAAATATTGATTAAAAAGTAAGTAGAATTTACTAGACATATTATGTAATTGTGGTGAAGGGAAGTAAGTGGTAAGAGGAGGTGGAAGAGTGAAGGATGGTAATATTAATAACAATATAGGCCAATATTTCAAGTGCTTACAATGTTCCACAAATGGTATTAAGAATGCTATACTTATCTCTTTTAACTCATACAATAGTTCTAAGAGGTAAGTGTCCTTTTTCTGCATTTTCAGATGAAGAAAATGAGGCATAGAGAAGTTAAATAACTTGCTCAAGTTTTCACATATAGTAAGTAGTAAAGCCAGAATTCAAGACCAAGTTGTCTGATTGGGAATTGAACCAGTGACCTCCTGGTGCATGGGACTATACTCAACCAACTGAGCAACACTGGCCAGGTGAAAGTATTTTATTTTTTAACTCAATTCAATATTGAGTGCAATAGGCAATTGATTCAATGATCTTGAGCTCCAGAGAAATATTAGGACCAGAGCTATAGACTTGAAGGGCATCAACATATAGGTGTTTAATCAGTAGGGGCCTCAGGACTAACTTAGGTCAGTGGGATGCATAAAGTGGGAGTTGGAGAGGGATGGTGAAACAAACAAGGGGAAGCAGTAGTTGAAGACAAAGTTGACCAACTTCAAGATTTCATAGGCTATGTCTTAGACTTGGAGAGTGCTTGTTTACTTCAAGCCCACAGGTATAGCTGAAGGTGTCCCACAGCACCATATGCCTAGAGATTCTCTTTTCTTTTTCGGTGTCTAGAGATTCTTGGGATTTTGAGCATGTG